TCAAAAAAAAAAAAAAAAAAAAAAGGAGCAAAAGCTGTAAGTTGCCCAGGCGCTCCCCAGAGTGCTGGGGTTTTAGACATCTGCCGCTATGCCCAGCTTCCTATGTGTTTTAAATTACTGCATATTGGTTATACAAATGAATGGGTGCCATGTGGGCAGATTCACAGATACACATAACATCCTCCCATGTCTTCACCTCCAAACCCCTACCCGCTCCCTTGCTGTCACACTTGGGTGGGTTCACTGTGCACACTGTATTTTGATCATATCCATCTGGTGTGTTACCTGCCCTTTCTTGTCATCTGATTTAGGTTCTACCTTTTAGGGAGAACATACATTATAGTTTTTTCTCTGAGTCTGGCATATTTTAGACAGCATTATAATGTGCAGATCCATTCATTTTACTCTTTTTCCATTGTTTTGGGCTTTGGGTGTTTTTATTTTGTTTTTTTGTGACTGGCCTTGAACTTACTATGTATCTCCAGATGGCCTCAGCTGGTGTTGGGTTTGCAGACATGCGCCATCTCACTGGGCAAAACTGTGTATGTTTTAGTGGTTAAATAATATGTCATTGTATATATACCATATTTTCTTTATCCATTCATCTGTTGATGGGCATCTAGTCTAACCCATATGCTGGCTATTGTGAAGTGTGCTACAATAAGCATAGCTAGGCAGGTATCTCTATAGTATGTCAACTTTAATTTCTTTGGGTACATCTCTATTTTTAGTTTTTTTGTTTTTTTTTTTTGAGACAGGGTCTCACTATGTAGCTCAGGCTGGCCTTGAACTCACAATGATCTTCCTGCTTCAGCCTCCTGAGTGCTGAGATTGTAGGTGTACACCACCATGTCTGGCTTTAGTTTTTTGAGGAACCTCTGTACTGATTTTCATAGTGACTCGGCATTGTAGGGGTCTAGCCACCTTGTAGTCTCTACAGCAATTTCCTTTCTTCCTTTTTCCTCTCCCTCCCTTTTCTTTTTTCTTTCCTTTTTGTTTTGTTTTGTTTGTTTGTTTGTTTTAAGACAAAGCCTCACTATGTAGCCCAGGCCAGCCTTGAATTTACAATGATTCTCCTGTCTCAGCTTCCTGAGCACTGGGACTCAAGCATTCACCACCATGCTTGACACATTTGGTTTTGAGGAGCCCAGGTTATTTTGCCATCATCTCAGCTTTGGATGGCTTAAAGATATGAGGTTTTTTAGTTTTTGTTTTTTGTTTCTGTGGTACTGGGGATTGTACGCAGGGCCTTGCTCATGCTAGGCAAGCACTAGAGATATGAGATTTTATGAATAAAGGAGATAAAATATAAGTGAGTATCTTTTCTCCCAGTTTGTTGTTTGTTTGGCCTTTGCTTTGTATTTTTGGCTCTAGGCAGGTTTTATATATTTTTTTCTTTTTCTTATGGTCTCTGATTTGGGGCTATAGGTAGGGCAAGAAAGGCTGTCTTCCTTCTGAAATAATGAATACATTGGTCTCTGTTTTAGTCTAGGACTTTTTTGGCTTCATTTTGTATTCAAAATGGTTATTATTTTGATGATAGGCTTTTCAATCATCAAATGATATTTTTTGTTTTTGTTTTCTTAAGACAAGGTCTCACTTAAACCCACAATCCCCCATCTCAGCCTTCTAATAACTGAGATTACAAGTATGTGCTACCACCTCCTGCTTCATCAAGTGGTTTTTGATAATTAGAAATGTTTTGTCCTGCCAGCATTTACTTATTTTCTATATTAATGTAACAAATTATCTTCATTGTATAGTGTTGTCGTCCGACAGCCCACTCACGGAACAAGGTTTGGGAGCTCAGACTGGGAGGGTAAGGCATGGAATCACCAGGGAGACTCCAGGGAGGTTTCTGGAATGCTTCTGCTTTATTCAGGAAACGCACAGGCTTATATAGGGACACCCGTGGGGGAGGAGCATGGGAAGGAGCATTTAACATTTGGCGATATCTTATTGGAGGCACGGTGGAGTGATTTTTCTTGGGCAAGGTGAGGGACTCTTGGACTAGGGGAAGAGGTGTAGCCTGTTGGACCCAGCATCTACACACTTAGGCGAGTTAGCTCAGCCTTAGCAAGGTCTCCAAGTTAGCTCAGGAGACAGGAGTGCGGCGCACCTGGCCCAGCCAGGCTTGACCTTCTCCCGCAGTATAGCAGGTTCTCATATGTTAGGAGATATTATTTGTTTTTTGTTTGTTTTAGGCAGGGCTTGCTATGTATTTCAGGCTGGCCTTGAACTCACTGTGTAGCCCAAGCTGGCCTCAAACTCATGAATCTTCCCTCCTGAGCACCCCAAGTGCTGGAATTACAGGTGTGAGCCACCACACCTAGTGGAAAAATAGTATTTTGTTCCATGGATATTGGTAGGTAGTTTGTAGGAATAAGAAATAGTGTGGCTAAAAAAAAAATAGTATGGCCAGTATAAAGAAGGATGAGCTTCGGACATTCATAGCTAAATGGATGGAGCGCGAGACCATACTCTTAAGTGAAATCAACTGGACACACGTGTTTAAACATTTCCTTGTTTCTCTGGTGTGAGAAACTGTATGTGGAGATGAGGAGGAAATGTATAATGGATGTTGGGAAATGGGAAGAAAGTGTTCAGGTGGGAAGGGGCACAAGGAAGCGAAAAAGGGAAGGGACAAGGAAAAAAGTGAAAATAGAAGGAACAAGTGGAAATAAAGCTTTTGTACGTAGGGAGAGGAGGCGGATTGAGTGGGGAATGGGGTAAAATAAAATAAAATGTATTAAAAATAAAAGAAGGAAAAATGGAAATAAAGCTTTTGTATTTAGGGAGGGGAGTGAACTTGAAGGGGGAATGGGATAAAATAACATCAAACTTATTAATAAAAATAGCATGGCTGGTACATCTACGAATGGAAAGCTCAACTTCTCTCAAGAATGTAAATCAAAATAATGAGTTAGTAGTTTTTAACCTATCATCTGGGAAAACTTCAATCTTTTGATAATACTCTGTCCTGGAGAGGGTCTGAGGAAACAGGTGGTCTCATGCTTTATTTGCTTCAGTGTAAGTGGGTGAATATTTTGACAAAATCATGAGCCATTTAAAAATACATGTGAACCATCTGGTTATGGTGATGCAGGCCTGTAATCCCAGCATTCTGGGAGGCTCAGGCAGGAGGATCGAAGTTCAAGCCCAGCCCTGGCCAACTTAGTGAGTTCCTGTCTCAAACAACAACAACAACAACAACAACAACAAACATTGAGGATGTAGCTCTGTGGGAAGGCCCTGGATTGAACCCCCCAGTTGTCTTTCCTAGTTGCTGGGGAAATAATAACTGACACGCACAAGTTAAAGGAGCAAAGGTTTATATTGGCTCACAGCTTGTGGAGGCTTCAGTCCATGGTCTGCTATCTCCAAGGCAGGGTGGCGTGGCAGAGGGGTGTGGTGGAGGAGAAACAGCCCATAGCACGGTGGCAGGAAGCAGAGAGATGTAGGGAGGAGAGAGGGGGACACACCTCTAGTAACCCACACCTCTACTGACCAGGCAGGCTTCACCTCCCAACAGCACATTTAGCCAGAAACCTATCATCAGGGAACTAACCAATCCCCTGATGAATATCACACACCCACCATCCAAACACCTCCCCAGGCCCCACCTATGAGAACATGAGGCTTTGCCGGGGACATCTAGATATCAACCATACCATCATTATCACAAAAGGGGGGGCTCTTTGCCCCAGAAAGTTTCATTTATTTGTTTATTTTGGTTTTTTGAGATAGGATCTCACTATATAATTCAGGCTGGCCTTGAACTCACAGTGATCCTCCTGCCTCAGCCTCCTGAGTGCTGGGAGTTACAGGTATGTGCCACCCCATGTGGCCCCCAGAAAGTTTACTGCTAGGAATTTTCACTGTGAATAAATTTGCAAAAATATGCCAAAGACAACACACAAACATATTCACTATTACAAAGTATGCAATTGCAAAACACAACATGGTTACATCTTAAATATCTCTCCTTTGGGAAATGGGGAAGTTATCAATGGTGCACCCATGGAGTAGAATTACAGTACTAGGCACTTTTTTTTTTTTTTTAGACAGGGTCTCGCTGTGTAGTTCAGGCATGTCTTGAACTCACTGTGTGGCCAGGTTGACCTTGAATTCATGGCAATCCTCCTGCCTCAGCCTCCCAAGTGCTGGGATTACAAGAGTGTGCCACTATGTCTGACTAAAATCCTGATATTTTTAAATCAAGAAAAGGGAGACTTATTGTAAAGATGTTGAGGTACTGCAATCAGCCAAAGGAAGTATTGAACAACCAGGCTTTAAGGGCAGACGAGTGTGGCTGGGCCTTAGGAATTTCTGGGATGAGAGGCTGGAATGCTGAGGTTCAATTCTTGTCTCTGCTTGTCTTTGTGTGTCAGCTGCATTCTCTCTCACATGAAAGATGACGAACACATATAGCTGCCCGATGCACCTAAATTTCCTATTTTAGGTCGGGCGTGGTGGCACACGCCTGTCATCCCATCACTGGAGAGGCTGAGGCAGGAGGATTGCTGTGAGTTGAGACCAGCCTGGGCTACATAGTGAGTTCCAGGTCAGTCTCAACTACCAAAATAAGTAAATGAATAAATTTCCTATCTTGTGGCAGGGGGGAGAGAGAGAGGCTTCCTGAGTTCCTGTTTGGCAAAATTCCCAGGGAAGGACTTGCCTTGGCTTGTCTGGGGTCAGGTGGCCGCCTCAGGACCGACTGACTCTAAGTGGTCTCTAAGTGACTAGTAGATCCTGTAGGGTCACACGGTTGAAGAAGGACCCTCAGTAGAAGGCTAAAGCACTTATTCTGCATTTATTCTCATGGTTATGTTTTGAGCAGAGGATTCCCAATAGCAATAGTGCCTCGAACAGTCAACCAGAGAGGTCTCAGCGCTCAGCCTAGGCTCCACTGTGGGAGGCAGCCTGGCAGTTAGTGTCTACTGGACGCTCCCTGTCTTGGCTCAGCAAAACCTTTCTCTGTGCACAAAAGAAAGGGCGGCTGTTTGTGCTGACCGCAGAGGGGACCCCTATCGGAGCAGCTTGGGATGTCATCATCGTCACCCTGAGGTCCCCGATGACTAAGAAACAGCATCCTGGCATGTGTGCCACCGGGGGCAGCTACAGCTGTTCCGAGTTGCTCGCCAAGAATCATTGGTGAAGGGAGTGGCTTCCTGTTGGGCTGCGATCTCTGGGTCTAGCTTTGAAGTCAAGGCTTCCTCAGAAACAAAATGATTAGGCAGTCTGCAAAGGCTCTGTGGAATTTTCATTATGCAAATAGAAAAGAGAGGTCTGGCTAAACAGACCTATACTGGACCACACATCCCCTCCCCCATAAAAGAAAAACTTACCCCGAGCAATCCTTACCATGAGCAAATGTTAAAATTCCTGTTCCACACCCAGCACTAGCAGGAATATCCAGGTGCAGGGGTCAAGATAGGAAGAGTCCTTCCTGGAGACTCCCTAGAAAAGGATTTCTGATGTGCTGACTCTAGAAAAAGCAAGGCAGCAAGCCAAGGCCCACGGAATTCACTGTTTTTTAGCCACAAGTTACAGACCCAGCTAGAGATGCTCCAGCGAGGTGTTGCTCTGTCCCAGTGTCCCAGGCTTCAGTATGTGTGCTGGGGATCGAGGGAGGAGGATTCCGTTCCCCTTCTCCCAGATAACTCTCCCACATGCAAACTGGTGGTCCCAGTGTACTTTTGGCCACTCTTATATTTTATAAGATATGGGGTGTGTGTGTGTGTGATGTGTTGTCTATATAGAATGTAGTAATGGTGGTTAAATTGAAGACTTAGTCCATGGCTTGGAGAATGGATGGTAGTCACACGTGGGCAAGACTGTACCTCAACTAAAAAGCAAAAACTCCTGAGTTTTTTT